AAGTTGTTGCTCTGAAACAATATTAAAAATACATTATGAGTTCTACTAGGTTTGGTGAGTTTTCTCAAAGTCTTGGAATAAGGAAAAAATTACAGTGGTGTTTTTCACTGTTCTAGAGACAAGTTTGTGAAAGGAATTCAAGCATTTTACATATGAATGCTGAAAAAACGGAATATTAAAGGAAGTCCAGTTTGAACATATCAGATTTTAAAAGAGTGATGCTGAAAAAGAACTTACAGGATTTTCTGCATTGGTGATGGGAATATGGCTTACGTAGCCTGGTTGGAAGTTAGTCTGGGAGGCTGCCAGTTAAGAACACAGTTGTTTGTGGTAGCCTGAAAAGATTGAGTTAATTTAGGAAATTTGGCCTAGGAAGAGGGCTGCTTAACTTGAAGAACTTGTTCTGCCTTAAAATACCCCTACCACTCAAAGCTTCCACTGGGAGATGAAATTTCAGAAATTGTATATCAATGTTACAGTTATTTAAATGTATTTCAGTTTTGTAGGACCTAAAGTTCACAACGATTTTCTTTCCTATGACCTTAGAGTTTGTAAGTCTATTTCTGCCTCTTTTCCCAGTATCTGAGTTTGCTTTGCTACACAAGTTCAAACAGTGTATAACAAGCACAGTAACTACATGATTATTTACTTAGGACTTTGTCTTTGCTGAAGTCCTTTCATTGGGGCTTATGTGCAGAGTTGCATGTGCTTAGTTCAGTAAAATGTGGTTTAGCAAAGTACAGTCCAACAGTAAACATACTGAAAATTTTATCTTACCCTTCCTCTCCTACAGCACAAAACGATAATGTTATATAGTTACATCACTAAACAAGGTGGTTATTAGATCAGAATATCTAATACCTTATCCTAATACCTAATACCCTACCTTGTATTATTTTGGGAAGGGTTCTTCTCGGTTTGCATGTGGCTTTTTTCCCCCCTTCTGAATCCCATCTGCCTCACCTCAGATAGCAGCAGTGATTTTTCCATATTGCTAACAAGTATTTCCCTTTCTGCTCCTGGTATTCTCAAAACACTTGGCCGGTAACGGTTCATAAAACAACTGTGCTCACTTTATCAGCAAATCTTCTGAGAACTCCTTCTTAACTCCAGATGAAAGTTATCACTGTATTACTGTAGAGTCATATGAGCAACATTGAGTTTCCAGTGCATCTCTAGGTAATTAGGAAGAAATTGTCTGAGCTTCAAACTACCTTGGAGACGACTACAACTGGGAATGAAACCCATGTACTTCCACAGATAAGGTGCACGCCACAACTGCCTTGCTTCCAGGGAAGCATGTAACCTACCGTACAGAAGGCTCAGGGTGCATCGAAGGTAATCCTTGTGTGTATCCCCCCCAAATGGCCCACAATGCAATAGGACAATAAGCTTTTTCTTTTTGCTTATTAGAGTGGCCAAGTGTGTCAAGAGCTGCACTGGAGGCCCTCAGCTGCAGTGCTCTTCACTCGTGTGGCAACAGCATCCTCCCTGAGCTGCAGCCAACCCACTCAGGTTTGCTCCAGCATTTGGCAGTGGTATCCTACAGCTAGCTCTACACTGTGAGGAGCTTCCTCTAAGACTGCAGCTGCCTGGGAAGGATTTGCTTGAGCTTCCAGCTGTCTTGCAGGTGCCTGCACCTGAGGCAAGGACTCAAAATCACAACCTCTGGCAACCAAGGCAATAATCATGCTACAGGTAAATCCCAACTCCAGCCTGTACTTGGGAATTTCAGCCTGCCTGTATCTGCCCTTCCTTCCCTTAGGGAAAGCAGCAATAAGGCCATGATTCGTTTTGTTTTGTTTTGTTTTGATCACCAGAATGTCCAAGAAGGTTCAAGCACTTCTTTGAGGCCCCAGGGACAGGTTCAAACCCCATGCTTAGAGGAACTCTGCTCATCTCTTGCTTAGGGACAATGTGACAAAGTGAGGCCAAACCAAGCAGCGCTTGGAGAGCAAGACCTAGGACCCTGGCTTTTGGTGCCTTCAAGAGCTGTGTGGCTAGAAGTCCCACTTGCCTCCCAAGAAGGCTTCCTCCTTTTTCAAGGCAAAACTAAAACTGCTAAGTAACTGGAATTGAAGAAAAAGAAACAAACCAAAAAGAAACCCTCTGCCACCAATGAAAGTGGGAGGCTAGACATTAAGTCTAAGAAGAGATGAACACAGGACTCGGGCATGGAGACATGACAGTGTTTTAGCCACTCTGCCACCCAGCTGAACTCTGCTGGGGCTCTTGCTACTGCTGCCTTCTTGCTAGGCTCCAGAACACAAGGAAATTCCTGGAAAATGGAGTCATTCTTGACGGACAGAGGGAGTCAAGCCCATTCCCTTCCAGCACCAATGTCTTTTATGAAGATGTCAGTGCCCCTCGCAGTAGGACCTGCCTGGGAGACAATGGGATCAGAAGGTTCCACCATCTCCTCTGAGCCCCTAAAGGGATGACATTGCCTTGTGAGAGACTTCTTCAGTTTGTCCCCCGGGGTTTCCAGATGAATCTCTGCTTGTGACCTGCAGATCCAACAGCTCTTGCTTAAGAAACAAAATGCTCCATAGGATCAGGTAGGACAGGTCTCCATTTACTTCCAAGAGGGTTGTGGGAAGGAGCAAAAGTGCTGCTAACTGCCACTACTACTCTCTTTGTAAGGATACACAGTTAAAGCTTCTTTCCTTCCTTTCTCTCCAAAAGACTATCTGTGGATTTCTCTGCTGGAAAAAGTTTAATCTGTTCAATTTTGTCATCCAGTTCCAATGGAAATACAGGTGCGAACTGAACTGCAAAGTTCTAAGGTGACTGAGAGTACAGAAAGGAGCGGAAGTTTGACATGTACAGTTTGACCTGGAACTGCCAAGCACTTGTAAATAAGAATTCTCTGACAGCACCTGCTTGGGAGCCTGCTTATGGGCAGCACTGACCCAGCACCAAAACTGAAGGGGCTGCTATAATCCAGAGCACTCTAAGGAACACCATCCTGTGCATGCATGTAAATTCCTGTCAGAATAATTTTTTTTCAATGCTTACTAAGAGCATGCAAGTGTCTGTGGGGAAATACCAGCATTCATTCTTCTCAGAGGTAAAACCCTCTACGTGATGAATTACAAACGCCCTTTTGGAGGCAGCTGGCTTTTTTGTGTCTGAAGTAATTTTACATTCTTAGCCATAGACTGCCCTGCAGTGGCGAAGCCAAAATCTGCAGCCTTACTGACTTTTATACAGGATCTTTTAACTTCCTTATTTAGAAGTAGTTTGCCCATCACTAGAAGGGACAGAAAGAGCCCGTGCAAACTACAGAACAAATGAAAAAAATTAAGCAAAGGAGATTTTAGTCTTCAGTGTAAATATAATGCGCAGCAAAATGTCACTACTGGCTTGGAATATTTTATCTTTTTTTTCATAGGAAACAAGGCAGATTTGATCACACCTCATATCTGTTTGCCTCCAGAAGCTATTTGCTGACTTCAGCCAAATTTAACTGCAAGAATTAAGATCTCAAAGACAGCTAAATGTCAACAGATTTTGAGAACAGTGGTTTTTGCAAACGACTCAAGGAAATGTATGGCTGTAGTGTCAGCACAGAAATTGTTAGATAACAAAGAATCCACAGAGGAGAGTGACCTTGTAAATGCCCCAGGAGAAAAGCCTCAGTCACATCTCACAATGAACCTAGAGACAGAAATCCTTACAAACCCATACTAAAGCAGAAACCAGGCTTCATTCGTTCTGGAGCTTGCTTTGTAAAATGATGAAACTTCCTTCTTCTTAGATCATCAACCTCTCCCCCTCCAGAGAAATCAGCTCTCTAATCATAATATTCTAAAGATGCAAAATTTCTGGAGATTCATCTTCTGTGCATTCCTACCAGTGTCTGCATTCTAAGCTGCAACACATTTGGCAGGGCTAGTAGTAGTACAAAATGGTGCCACCAATTCTTTAGGTAGCAAAGATGCTTGTATTCAGGTTGGCTGTGGCTTAAGCAGCTACTTTAAGTTCTCAGAAGGGTAAAGCACAATTGGTGTTCATTAACAGAGACAAAATAATACCAAAAGCATTTTTCACACACAACAGAAGGTGTGGATTACCCTCGTTGTACTTCAGATGATTCAAGAGAGGTGTCCATCTCTCAGCTCATCTCCTTCAGCTCCTCTTACAGTAAGATCAAATAAACAGGCACTTTAGAGTGCAATTCACCTAACCTCCTTTGGATAAGCCCTTTGTTGTGAGACAAATGAATGTTGAAAATGGCCATTTCTCTCAATTTCCTGTAGAGGAAGCCTAGGATTACTAGCTCACAGAGGGCATGTGTTCTGCAAACGTTGGAATTTGGACACCTCTTACTATAGTACTAACTGTACATCCCTCAAGCACTGTGAATGAACTTCATATTCTCATAGCTGAGGGACTACTTTCTTAGTGAAAATACATAATTGTCATGAACTGAGACAGTTCTAACATACACAGCCCTGCTAAAATGAGATCTGGTGCTGAACTAAAAGTTTCCCCAAGTCATCTGAATCACTTCATGACGCATTATTCATCTTTGGCTTTGTTCTGGCAGACATCATCAACTTCTGTCCCACCTTACACGTTGGGTCCTCTGGACAGTACCTTCTGATATTTCAATTTTTAAGGAGCCAGAAATAGATACCCCAAAAATTTAGAAAATATGTCAGTTGACTTCCTATAACTTGAAAAAGAAGTCTTCTCTTTTAAAACTCAGGCTCATCAAGACAGCACGTGAATAAGTACAAAACCCATGGTTTTTTAAATGTGCTTTTAATCATTCAGAGAAAATAAGCTGATTATAAAAGGACCCAAAAGGCTGTGCACTTGGAAGAATACAAGCTTGAGTTCTTATTTTGTGCACAAATAAATAGAGCACTGTTAAAAATAACCAGAGAACAAACAGGATACAATAACTGGGAAAAGCAAAGTTCAAAAGTAGTCAACGAAGATGAGAACGGTGCATAGTCCTTTCAGTTGAATGCTGTTAGGTCTTTTCCCCTTCATTTTGATGTTAAGCTGATGGCCCTCTTGATAGGGTTCAGAGTGCTCGCCTTGTCATTTTCTTCTGTGCTCTGCAACTCACTGGATTGTAAGCATTCACTGTCTTGACAGCTGCAGCTTTCCACATATATATACTTATGGGAAATTGAATGCCCAGTGGGGCATTTCAGTTCCACTTCCCTCACAGTAGTCCTTGATTCCCTGCAGCAAGAACAGCTGTGCTCCATAGAATTGGCATCAGCAGAGTATCTGTTAACATGGAAAATGGTAACATTACTCTGTGCCAGAAGTCAGCATACAGAGGAGAGGGTGAAATTAGGTACAGAACTCCTGTGAGAAGTTTGGAGTAATATGTAGAAGAGCCACAGCTGTGGCTAACGAAGATGCTAAGCTCATCTGACAGAGCAGTGGTTATAACAATATGCTTTTAAAATTCATTGCATTTGCTGAGATTTTTTCTGGTAAAACAATTAGTATCAAAGTCCTAGTAAAAATACCCGGTGAGTTCTAGGAACTCAGCTTCCTTAGATTTCTCTCATCATCCCATTGCTGATGGATGTTAAATACACCAGATCAACAATTAAGGGCAGACAAAGCCCTGACTTGAATAAGAAAACTGCATAGACAAGTGGCTACAATGCCATCTACAATGGCATCACATCAGTCAATTGGCTACAAGGGCTACAATTGCAGCACTTGAATCAAAGTGCATATCCCAAACCTGGCAGTGTTAACAGGAAGTGGAAGCAGCAGCTCTTTCTGTTCCTATCTCACCGCAAAGTATTTTTTGCAGCCTTGTGTTCATCAGCTTCCCAAACACCATTCCTAACCTGCAGAATCAATATCAGGCTATAAACTGTGTCAAGAGCCATCTTTTTCTTCTATTTGTGTGCAGACGCAACCACAGCAAGACTCTAAGACGATAAGGCATTTCAAAATACTAATAAACCCACTGGCCAATCTGGGTTCAATCCGAGACTAAAGATCAGTTTACTCCCATGTAAGGTACCCTGTAGCATATTCAGTGATAGGCAGCAAATGACAGTTTCTTTAGGGAGTTAGAACTACGTTTTTCCAGTGGTTTAATAGCTCAGAACCAGGTGTCCTACTAGCCATTTTCTTATAGCCACTTTCTTGTAGATTCTCTCATTTCAGAGAAAAATGTACAGTGAAGCTACTCTACTAACACCACCCCTAACGTATTTGTTTTCTAATTTCTTTACTGTATAAAAATTGTGCATGTTTGAATCTTCCTTTAAAAGATGTATGTGTATTTCATTTTAGATGTTAATTATTGAGAAACAGCTTTTCAGCTTATGAGCATCAGGTCTGGCGGATCTCTGGGCTCATTCCCATTACAGGAAATAATCCATGTTCTTTTGTGATGACTTCTAGCCAAGGTGGTCTGACACAAATGACAGACAAGCCAGCTCTTAATGGATGAATTGACCTTATCATAGCTGTCTGAATCCCAAGGCAATTTAACACACTTTTCTGCTTTGTATTAAGATGAATCAACTGTTCAGTCACAGATTTCATGATTTTGTGCCCATGATTTGGGGAGCTGATAGTTTAAGGTCTTCTACCATTCTGTAGTCTACCTATTTATTGTTCCTTTTACATAAACAAACTCAGTGCCAGCAGAATTCAAATCTCATTGTCTGATCAGTTTACTTACAGTGAGAAGGTTCCACATGTTCCTTCACATTCAGTCATGACAACTCTGTCCACAGAACGGCAGCTCTTATAGACGATAAAGTCTTTTCTTTGACGGACAGAACACGGTGTGGGACTATCCAGAGGTACACCTATAGGGAAAGATCAGAAAATACTTTCAGTGAAATAGCTCCAGAAGTTCCTTGCAGTTCAGCACTCTCTGGGCTTCACTAGTGCACTCAAAGAATTGTCTTAAGTGGACTTCCTGCTTCAGTTTAAACTTTCCCAGAGAGATCAGACAGTGAATGCTTGGAATAACAAACATAAATATAAAAGTATCTATTTAAATACAAACATATCAGCCTCTATGGCTGGAAAATGGGTTGATTTAAGAATAAAATTCATTCTCAGTATTGTTGATTCAGGTACACTGGCATACTTACAGGTTTTGCAACAACCATTAGGTAAGAAGGTAATAGTTCCCTAAAAGAACAAAGAAACAGGAAAAATAATATTATTTTCTTTCCCTGTATTAAAGAGGTTTTTAGGCCAATACCTGAGGAGAGCAATTCCTCAATGGCTGGAAATAACCAGTGAAAACTGTAGCATTGATCTGAATAAACAAAGATAATGGTCTCTTCCAGACTTGAAATCTATCATTTTACAAAGGACTGCGGAAATAAAGAAAATGCTTTGAAGGAAGTCTACAGTTAACATCATGCAATTTTTCCTCAAAAACAATTCCAAAAAATGTTTTCTCAGAGACTTCTATATTTGAATGAGGAGTATGCATGGTGTTACTGGCAGCCTACTGACTGAACAGCTTCTGTTTCTGTAACATTCAAGAAAACATGGTTCTTGTTCAGACAGGACCCCGCACAAAGCAGTCAGCGAGGACTTTGCATCTCAGTGCTGACCAGTGTTTTGGCTACTGAGAGAGAGCTGCCAGTTATAAGCCTTGAACTCTCACCCAGATATGTTATTTTATAAACTCTATAGGTCTGTGCATGGATGCAGCAGAAACTTTTGCCCCTGGGACTGAAAAACTTTGGTGAAAGGTCATCAGAGCTTAATTTGACTTTTGTTGCTAGTTAGGTGGCTGAACTAAACTGAAGTAATCCATGCATTGAGTAGAGGTTAAGTTTTCCATATTTACTTACAGGTTTGCAGCTCTCCTCATTGAATGCTGGGCAGGTAATCTCAGATGTGGAAGAGAGAAGCTGGTTATGGATATTTACACAGCTATAAATGGTGCAGTTGTTGTAAGGATCACTTGTAAACTCTCCAGGCTGCAAGCGAAATACAAAATGTAATAAGGAAAGCTGAAGGGAGCTCAGACAAAAGTTTTCCTGTCCTCTGACAATGACTTTCTTCTTGTTTCCCAGTCAATTACTTTTAGTTTAACAGCTGTTTCGGATACAGATTATTACATGTATTGCAGCATGCCATATGTGGAGAGAATCTTCACTTTTACATGGGGTTTCCCTTGGAAAAGAAAAATCCCTCTGAAGTATGTAGAGTACATTAGAGTTATTAACAAAAACATCCATGCCAATGGATTTTGCCTAGGGAAAGCTAAACTGTTATATGGTAATTAAGAACAATCCTAAACTTTCACCCTACAGGGGCAATAAAATTTTTTCACATGCAGGCTTTACTAGTGTTTTTCAGTACACAGAAATCAAATAATATAGAAAAGCCCAAGCTTCCAGACATCACAAGAAAAACCCTTCCAATGGTATTGGATTTGTCATTCCAGGAAGAGCCTTCCAGAAAATTTTATTTCATGAGTCCTTCCTTCAGGCCAAAAAATTGTAGATAGGCTTTGCTTTAGGTGAGCCTCTGACCTTTCAGGTGCAGACTTCCACTAAGCCTTATCTCTGAGAAGGAGAGGTTCCCTCTCTGAAAGGGGGAACTTTACAAATTTGGTAGAGATGTAAGATGTAAAGCATACTTACACTCAAGATGAGGTCAGAATTGTTTGCTGTATGTATAACACACTTAGTCTGCACGCATCTTCCACAACATTCACCTTTCACTGGTTGATGTTCATACCCCTAGATATTAAAATTAATTAAAAATGAAAGCACTATGATAGATGCATTTTTGAGAAATAAATGAAAACATACTAACCCATTAATTGATTATGTTTTGAAGTGCACTCTAGATTGGTGCCTTTCTGTGCCTTTCTGTGTTCCAACCCAATGGAAGACAAGTATTAAAAGCAGGCTATAGATGGAATAAATTAAAGCGCTATAATAAATATGCCTAATAATTAAATATCACTCCATTAAGTGCTCTACAGAAATTTCCCAGCTAATCCTCCCAATGTGAACTTAATACTGTAAGTTACACAGTCAAGCTTCACGCAATAGATTGCTCAAGGACAGTTGGTATCTATGCTGGAGTTGGACTCTGGATTTCTGCTCCCTGTCCTTTGCTTATACCACTCATTGATCAAACTGCTTTTCATGTACATGGGTATTTTGGGGTTCGTTTTTTGTTGTTGTTTTAAGTTTGTCACTTACTGGTTCACAATATGTGTTGCATGGAATATGTTCACATGAGATGATATTCAGTTGAGTGCTGACGTTAACTTCGTTAGTGCAGAAACAATTCTGACACTTATCAACAAAGACCGAGGAATTAGGCTATAAATTTTAAGGAAAAAAAGGGTCATATATTAATGAGATATGACATGTGTGACAGACATTTCTTAATTTGCAAGAAATCTGTAAACCAAGCAATGGAAAAGGAAATGATCATAAACACTACTGGATAGCTATTTGGCTAGCCATTTATGAAGACAACATTTTAAATACTGAATTTAATTTAACGTGTGTCTTTAGTGAAGTCCTATATAGCAATGATAAACTCAGACATTAAAAGGACAGGTGTCATACAAATATCTGCAATAAAACAATTACTAGACCAAACAGAATTTATTAGGAATCTGTCTGTTTAGAATAATACTTATTTACAAATCTTTTCATTTTTGAAAACAGAGTCTTAAAACTGCAATAATGTGCTGACAGTAAATGTGGACTGACTTTCTAAAATGCATGCACACTTAACTTTAAACCCAAATCTCTCTCTGATACTGACATACAAACAACTCCTCAGTCTCTTTCATACACAGCAACCTTTTCAGAAAAGATTTAGGCTTTGTGAAATTGATGGCCTCCTGAAAGGAATTTGAAAATTTCTAGAATATCGATTGTACTAGGTAAACCTCCTCATAGTGCTTCTGATAAAGTATACTAACTGGTCTTCTAAGCATTTTCAGAAAACTGTTGAAATAGGAACTTACCAAGAACTCAGCATTCTGATGTACACAAACCCTCTTGGGAACTGTTAACAAGCAAGGAGTTAGGTGGTTACATAGGGTGGAAAAAAAAAAAAGGTCTTCACCCCACTCTAGTCGAACTCATTTCTTCCACAATGAATCACAATGCATATGGTCAAATACATTGGTTATTGCCCATTTCTGGTAGCAGATATGACATATATAAAGTATAAGAACAAAAACTGCGTGTGCAAAAAGGGAGGAAGATTTGGCCCAATATATGCAGTCCAGTTCATAGCCAAGAATGTCCACTTAATGGGTACAAGTAGTTCCTTGTTTCAATTGCCAAGAACAAAGCAGACTTTGTAAAGCTATCTTCTATTGGGGGTGCTTACAGGGACATTTTGCTAGACTAAGCTGAGACCACAGTCCCAGTTAATTCTGTAGCTGTTCTTGCATGTACTTACAACGAGGAAAATTGAACCTGAGCCACCTGAGCTATATCTGATTTTGTAGTTGTTCGTCATAAGCATGGCAGTAGTAACCAGTGTTAATAGTAACCACTTTGTAGAATCTGACTGTGTTTATTCTCTCTTTCAATAGGTTATTGCATACAGTCTTACTAAGTGTGATGCTAAATTATGTAATATATAATGCTAATCATTGTAATACATTTCCAAGCGACTTACCACACTGGTACACAGGACAGCACTGGCCACTGGGAATATGAGAATGAACTTCAAATCCCACTGTACACTTGGGGGCTTTAGTTGTGCACAAGCTTGTATTGCATTCTGAAAAAAAAGGAATAAGCCAGAAAGTACACTAAATCACGGCTACTAGAAATAGGCATCTATCAAAGCATTTAGAATAGACTTTCCATTGCTAGGAAACAGTCCAGATCCTCTCCAAAGAAATGAGTTGCAGAAAGAGAACACATGTTTCCTAGTGAATCCAGGGACTGGACTGGGGGGCTGCACTAGTTTATGAAACTTTTTCTACTATGTAATTACCAAGTGTTAAAAAAGTATTACAGTTTTTTGCAGAGAAGTAGGGGACAACTGTTACTCTCTCCAAGGTTGTAGGCAACTGCCGCAAAATGAAAACCCACATAGAATTCCATAATCTATCTGCATTTTACTTGAATAAAATGTGGTCCTGAACTCAAGAACTATAGATTCAGTTACATTGAGTCCCATAACTGTAAATTCAGTTATGCTGAATCATTGCAATATTAAAAAGTATTTTCCCTAACACTGGGCAAGCTGATTTTAAAAAGCATGAGGAAAGATACTATTTTGTGACTTGCTGCTGCAGGTCTCTGGTGCTAAACTAGTTCAGTTCTCTTTTCCTTTCTATTCCTAAAAGGTATAGAAAGACTAGAAACAAAAGTATAAACTCACTGCAGGTGACAATGGGGCAGCAGGAGTCTTCAGAATTGACTTCATTGGCCTCATAGAAGCCTTCTCCATCACAACTGGTCTTATTTTGTTTGGCACATTCATGAGGCTCACATACAATGCCATTTCCACCTTCCAGGCAAATACAGTCCTGACAGTCTACTGTAAACTTTTCCCCAAACTGTCATTAAAGAAAATAAAGTAAGTGATTGCATGGTTGCCAATTAAAAAGAACAGAAGTAAAAACAGGAATGAAAAGTTGGGAGACCACAAAACAAGACTGCACCACTCTCCTCTCCCCACCCCAAGCCTCTGCTTGAAATACAAAAGCACATGGCAGCGTACCTCTCTTGGTATCTTATCCAATCCAAGACAGCCTGTGAAAATATCAAATTAAATTTCCATTACCACTCATATAATGGTAGACATCTCTACTATATGTCATATGAGTATTGCATACAGTCAGATCTATGTTGCACACATGAGAAGGAGACAACAAAGAGGAAACAAACATGCATTCGAGTGAAGCAGTAAAACTCACCACAAGTTTTCACACAGACATCCACACCAGAGTCATACAGCATTGTTCCATTAGGACAGAAACAGCCTTCCATTTGTTTAGTTGAAGTTTCGTTTTGTTGACTGTATGAGACAAAATGTTCAGAGGAACACCGTTACTGTCATAGGCACACAGAGGAAGATTATGCCAAATAACCTTTCACTGAAGATACAGTGGCAAATGATCTGCACATTTGCATTTTAGGGATTGTCAATGTTTATGTTTGGTATAGCCAAACAACATAAACAGTACAGGCACCCAGATTTAGGATCAAGAGAACAGTGGTACCAAATTTGACAGTCAGTTTAAGACATGACAGGAGGTTGATTGCTCTCATCCACCTATGCATTAGATATGACTGAACAGTTGTATGAACTATAACTAACAGTGAAGGAATTATTTACCTTGATTTGCAGGTTATCTCTTTAATAGGACCACATGCTTTGTATTCTTTATCTGAGGGGCATTTATAAGCTGGAATGGGAGAATAAGAAGGAGAAAGAGCTCAGTAACAATATCACAGAAAAGCCCCAAGACCTTATGCCAAGAAATTAAACACTGACTATTCATTTTCCTATGTATCTTTGACAATCTTGAGAAGCAAAGAGAAAAAAAAAACAGATATCAGACTCATGTCTCTGAATGGAATTATTTTATGCAATTTAGCCACAGAGATATAGCACCATACTTTACATTAAGGAGATAAAGCCAAGAGTCTACATCTTGATTACAATTTTTTTCATAATTTCGGTCTCTTTTGCACAAGTTCTCAAAGAGGAGTGTATTCCTACCCTCTGCCCTCTTCTTACTACAGCTGAAAATGAATGCATATGTCACTAAATACAGTGATCTGCTGATGTCTGCAAAACACAAAACTGCCTGTGTACAAAAAGTACTGATACAGATGTTTCTGGCACAGTCAATAGATGTATATTTTTGCAGGCTCATTTATCATTTCCATTGTTAAAAATGTTACCTGTAAAATTGCTTAAGGAAAGAAACTGGTGTGATTTATTGGTGTCTTCATTGCTCAGAAAGCAATATGATTTACTATCAGGACATTATTGCCAAAACAGTTCCATATAAGCTTCCCGAATAGTTCAAGATAAATGGCCAAATACTTACAGCAAACACCATTGGTATGACTTCTCCAGTCAATGCATACACTTTGATCAGCACAGGTGGCAGCATAGACCTGCAGACTTGAGCATTCCAGGTCTAAGTTGGGAAGTACACAGCTATCAAAAACGCAGGCTGCATAGTACTTTTCAGGCCGGACAAAGCCATGGCATGGCTCGAACAGACTAGAAACAGAAACATTTATCATTATTAGTTATTCTGTTTTCTGCTAAGTGAGTGTGGGAAAAGGCAAGAGCATAGGACAGTGGAGGGCAGAGAGCATAGAAGAGCAAGAGAACATCAAGAAAGGTTAATGTAGCAGCCAGAGGGTTGGAAGCAAGCTATCAGCAAAGAATGACATCAGAAAAAGGAAAAAGGAATGGAAGCAACCCACAAAAGCTACAAGAAATGGAGCAATAGTTAGAAACACATTTTATTGAGAAATGAATCCTAAAATTGCCACTTAATTTGAAGATCAAAGGCTTATAAACCCCAGAGGAATGCCTACCTTCCCAAAAGAAGCTTGCAGATGGAAGATTCTTTGCAAGGCTGCATCGGGGTTGTGCTAGGTGCTTTTGTAGGAATTAGGCCTGGAGAGCACTGTGGTTTGGAGGGATCAACAACTTGCCAATGATCTGCCATGGTTTCACAGTTTTCTGCAATGTTACCATTCGGCAACATGCAGTCATCTGCTGTGTTGTTATTGCAAGTACCTAAAATTGGCAAGGGGAGAAAGAATTTACTCACAGATTTGTTATCAAATTCCATTCATCTTCGTGGCAGGGCTGTCATTTACCTGTTTGTGGTTTTCTGAGAGTACAAAAATTACAAGAGTAAGCCTTACCACACTGTCCATGAGTGTTGTTGCCAAACAGGCTGTAGGGCATTCTGATAGAAAAGGACAAGCCATTGTAAGTCACATTCATTTTTAGTTCAGGAATTTCCACTACACGATTTATGCCTGACTCATAGATGCTCAAGCCAAATTTTTTATAAGGCAAAGCCACTGCTTGTTTGTTTACTGTCACCTAATAAATAAAAGAAAACAGAAAAGAGATTATTATAGAGAATTATAGAGAATATTTAGTTTGACTTCAGAAAACAATTGACTATTCATTACTTGGTATTGGAGATAGAATGTAAATGCAAATAATGTGGTTTTATTTTGTAACAAGTGTCCCTGAGTTTCCTTTTATGTTACTGGAAAGTCAAACTTTTCTTCTCTGAGCCAAAGAAAAGGCCTATCAGTCACTGATAAACTAGGCTAAAATTCAGAGTTTAAACCAGCTAAATTCTAACACTCAAGAGATTTATTAGAGTGACTATGGCACTGAGGACACCCCATGAAACTGCAATATAAAATTCTCCCATTGACTTCAGAAAACAATTGACTATTCATTACTTGGTATTGGAGATAGAATGTAAATGCAAATAATGTGGTTTTATTTTGTAACAAGTGTCCCTGAGTTTCCTTTTATGTTACTGGAAAGTCAAACTTTTCTTCTCTGAGCCAAACATAAGGCCTATCAGTCACTGATAAACTAGGCTAAAATTCAGAGTTTAAACCAGCTAAATTCTAACACTCAAGAGATTTATTAGAGTGACTATGGCACTGAGGACACCCCATGAAACTGCAATATAAAATTCTCCCAAATTCCTAGTGCACACAGTTTTAACTTCCTTGGCATAAAGGGAACATGCTTGTAGGAAAATTAAATGAAAGAAATAAGCCAAAATCTTTATTATTTATTTAAATACAGTAGCCATGATATACCTACGGAACTAACACTACTACTTTTACTCAGCAATGGTAGATTTCCTTGCTTTGGAGAAAAAAAAAGAGGTCTAAATGTTGCAAATTTTCAACAATGTGCTGCGACATAACTTCTAATATTCCCACACAGTAATGTACAAAAATAATCCAAACAAACCCCACAAAAGCCCAAAACCAAACACTTCTCACCCAATTTTGAAGCCCCAAAGCTGGGGCATCATGTTTATCAATGAAATAAACACATAAGAGCCCCTATTCTGAAAAATTAAAAAGGTGACACCAATCAAAGCTAGTAATGGTACTTTTTAAAAATGCTTAAGCCCAGTACTTTATTGTTATGTCTATTTTATGTTGTATCCTCCCATTCAACATTTATTCTTTTCCTTTGTTACATTAATATTAATTATAAATGAATTTATTTTATATCCTTAACTCTTAGCAATTTGTCCATGTTTGTGTATTTAGAAGAGATAAGGCACTGCAAATATTTGAGATAAAAAGGGACGAAGCTGTAGAAATTTATATTCAGAGTCAAAAAAGCAGTCCTTCAAAGCAGTCCTATTTTATAATCCAAACTGGTATTAAATCTAAAACACAGATTTCTTTTTAATTTTTTTTCCTAACATTGTGAATACAATTATCAGGTTAATGTTGTATTAATATTTTAATCAAGAAATCAAAGGTAACATTCTCCAATACCTTTACTTGTAGAGTATTTGGTTTGACTGTTGCTATGCGCACTTCCTGAGTCTCGTGTCTCACAATGAGCGTTCGAGGACAGGAGACTAAATCCCGTGTATCACAATGGTAGTTATCAATGTAGACACCAAAGTTGTCAACTTTCTTATAAATCTCTTCCACAAGGACGTATGTACAATTCCCTTGATAGCTGTAGTACAGTCCATCAAAAGTCATGTAATGTGGGTCTCCCCAGCCAGTGCAGTAGCCTACAAAAACATACAGCTAGGTTAGCTTCTTATGGCAATATACAGAATCAGATCAGACTATAAACAAAATCTGTAAGTGTGGGTTTCACCTCATCTAACTTTAAGCATTTAAATTTTTAAAGTGTATATGTCAATGCATGAGCTTATTATCTAGAACTTATCAATAATAGCGAAAAACAAGCACTTTCAGGGCACAGTTCATCTGACTTATTTCCGGTAGACAACTGAGAATAGGATTGACTGCACCATAGATATACCTTTACCGATAGTCTGAACAAGTAACTTATATGTAGGCTTCTAGCCTATAGAAGTCTGCATCTGGACATTTAAATCCTGCCTTGGGAGACCAATTTATTCTACTAACACAATAGTTATGTAGAAATGATGGCAAATTAAGTAAAAGCCCCTGATTAGCTAAAAAGAATCAATGAAGCACTCCAAACAAACCAACACTAGAAATCTGAGGGTCACAGCCTTGTGCGATACTTGTCCCCTGATAAATATTTTTGCCCTTGACACTAGTATTGTTCCCACAGAAGATAAAATGTTCAACAAAATATATACTTACAATCACACTCCCAGTGCCAACAGCATCCATCCTCATCAATGACTTGCACAGGAGAAAGCCCATTGGCACATGTAGGTTTAGGAGGTGGATTACAGATTATGGGAACCACCTGGATTATATTGTCTTCTATACATATTGCCTTAGTGCAGTTACAGAGCCACCATGACTCACCTGGCTGTGTTTAGAAAGAGGGGGGGGGGGAAGAGAGAGAGGAACCTTATGAACAGTCAGACTGCCAACAGTTATGCCTGAATATGTTTTACAGAGTTTTAAAACACCATATGTTTATTGACAATTTTTTCCCCACCAGAAGTCTGAAAATGGGAAGGAAGTGCAGCAGTCAGCACCATCAAGGCCTGCAAGATGAGCTAGCACTACTGAGAGTTGCTAAGTGAAAAGCATTACTTATAAAAGTCAAGCTGTCGTGGTTTAACCTCAGTTGGCAACTGAGCACCACACAGCCACTCGCTCACTCCCCCCCTGGTGGGATG